CAGCGGCGCCGTCCCATAGGACTCATGCCTGGGTCCTATGGGACAGCCCAGGTCCTAAACGCATATAAATATGCGTTTAGGACCCATATTGGGCCTGCAGGCAGTATGGGACAGCCCAGGTCCTAAACGCATATAAATATGCGTTTAGGACCCATATTGGGCCTGCAGGCAGGCAAGCCAGCCTGCAGGGTATACCCCCTGCAGGCGAGTGGCGTGCCTGCCTGCACGCCATTCTGCAATGGCGTGCAGATTGGCGTGCGCCATGGGGGTTGGCGTGCGCTTATCAACCCCCATCTACAACCTGTACTTAAACAACAAACACATGTACTGTAGTGTATTGGTTAAGGATTGTGCTATGACTTTGCCTCACCAACACACTTGGGTTCAAATCCCAATTATGTAATCTTATATTTTTATTATTTTATTTTTATACTTTTATGCTTTAAGTAATTCCACGGAATTACTTAAGGATTTACCTCTGTATTAATATTCATATTTTATATACATACAGTATGAAAGCTTAATCATCTCTCTATACACTGTAATTAGAGAGATGACATCATTCTTTCTCCTTTGAGCTTGAATGACATCATTTCCTCCACTTCTGGTTTAAATCTTAATTTAAATACATATTTTGATCATTTATGATTATATACATAAATGATCCTCTGCAGGCCTCACCGGTCTCACAGGCAGGTTGACCCTTGCCTTTGTAATACTTAAGGGGGAGGTCTTCTTCCCAAGAATCCTCCCCCCAGAGATTATTACCATACAACCCGTTTACCTTACTACAACTAGTGAGTGGGGTTTTTATTATAATCTATATTACTTTTATCCCTTATCTTTTTACTCCCATCCATCCTATCTCAATCCTAGACTACAGTAAAGTCACTACTGTAGCCTAGAAGAGAGTTGTTTTACACTCTAAGCCCGGCGCTGCGAAGACCTTACCGCAAGTGTCCCCTACATTTACAGGGAGCTTAACCCCTCCGCTTTCCAGCGTCGAGGCAAGGTTTCCTTTCCACTGGCTGCTAGTTAAACACTAGCAGTTATAGTGTGACCATCACCCCATCAACGCCAGGTCACACAAGAGACCGGCGCTGACATACATGTTCTGACTAGCTAAATCCCCTCATTCTCTTGTTCCCCTGAAGCAAAAATCCCTCACCTTTGTGTATTTAAGAGGCTCTCCTCTCAGTTGTTTTCCCCTCAGTTTAGTATCCACCTATTTCATACCCCCTACCCTTACAAACTCTTACATACCATTACATACCATCCCCTTAACATTGAAATATCAGCTAGACTCACTCTCTCACTCTCAAATCAACCTTTAAACCTATATAAAACTGGGTTAAACCCTTTGTCCACCTGTTAAGCCACAGTTATCTTTTGATACACTCCACTATCACTTTATTAAACCTTCCAATCTGAGATTGGTGGGCTTTTCTAGTGTCTAGTGATCCAGGAAAGGCAGAGGTATCCTCATTCATCCCTTTCCACACTCAGCAAAAGGTTTTCACAAACACTTTTGAGCTTTACACCAGATCGGTATTTATTGGGGATCAGATCAAAAATAGACCCAATACTGGGTATTGGAATCGGATCAATCTCTGATCCAATCCCAACTTATTGGAAGACTAGAATTGGGTGGAGCAATTGAATCCCAATACCCGGTATTGGGTCTATTTTCAATCTGATCCGGGGATCGGATCAAATACCCTCTGGATTATACCAAAGCATGAGGCACACAGCCCGCAGCTTTTGGGTGTTGGATTGGGATTGCAATGCAATCCCAATCCCAATCCAATACCACGGGATTGGATTGCTAGTTCAATCCAATCCCTTATTTTTTGATACCTGGTATCAAAAAAATGATCCGCCAATACCGTATTGGATCAGATCAGTTTCATTGTTGAATTTGTACCTCCTCTACACTGAACTCAAGTGGTACTGAAACACTTCAAGCGGCCAACTCACTCAAAAGGAGTCAGTAATCATCAATCCAAACTATCCCTATCACCTGACAGGAGTCAGTCATCATCAAGCCAGTAACTATCCCAAGAAAAGATGCTTGTGAAGACAAAGTTTAAAAACAGAGAAATTTGTTGAGTACAAGAATTCAATTGGGCAGCATGACTGGCCCGTTGTGGCTCCTCCCTTAATTCAAGTGGGCTCTCATTGACCAACTGACCTGTGTCTGGTGTGGCTGTAATAGTAAGTAGTCTACATTGCTCTTCAAAGGACAGATGAGAATGGATCCAGCTGCTCACATCTTATGTCCACTTGTTATGGATCAAGGGAGTCAGTGATAATGTTGTAATTGAGATTGATTCACCCAACAGAAATTGGTACAGGCAAACAGGTTCACTACAATCGTGATGTACCTCCTCTATTACAATGTCTTCTGACAAGATCTGATTCTGGTTGGTTTGTTGAAGGGGACACAGGATGAGCTGCCTGAAGTTCACAGACTGAGAAGTCTTGTGACACCTGAGAGTGAGAAAATAATGGTTTCTGATTCACTAGAGGGAAAACGCCAATGACAATCTAGTATGAGTTATATACAAGATTGTATGTGTTAAGATTAGAAGCATACTGGACAATGCATATGCATGCTATTCCAACACACCCCCTTGCTGAAAATCAAAAACTAAAATAAATGAAATATCTAAACTACTTGGAAGTAACAGAAAATAGTATTTCTTATGGGGGACAGAAACTAGTACTTAAAATCAGGCCAGAAATCTGATGGAAACAAAGAGCAGGGAAATGTCATGATAACAGATATACCCCAAATCGCCATGAAGAATTAGCCATCAGGTTGTGCCGGAGTTGCCCTTCCTACGAATGTATAAATAATTTTTACTTCAGGGCTCATCCCCATACAACATTGATTTATTTGTCGAAGCTGTTGTCATCTTCATCATTGCTAGGTCCACCATTGCCAAGAGGTGCCGCAGAGGTCGCACCAGCCCACGCTACAGCTGATTTCGCTGTTGTGTTCAACTTGTTCTTAGAGAGGGGTTGGGACACGCGGAGGAGTGGTGGAAAGTTTGTCCGCAGTTCCAGCAGCCAAGTCGTTTCTTTGGTTTTTTTACAGCAGCAGCCGCATAGTTCTTGCCCGAGTGGTTGAACGTTACTTGCATGGATACCTCGTGAGCCTCAAGCGCACCAATGGCGTTGTCAAGAGAGATCTCCTTAGGCGAATAGACAAGATGGTCCCAAATCGGCTTCCAAGTGTCTCTAGACCACGCAGGAGTTGATCACAAATTTGTTGATCCGCCGGAGTGAGCTTCACGGATTTGAGATTGGATGCCGCATTGCGTATCTTTGCGATCCATTTTGCAATTGGCTGATTCGGATCATGTCGAGCGCACCAGAATGAGTCTTCTTGCATCATCCGCCTTGCCCGAGTATTTTTCTCATACGCATTGCAGATGGTCTTGAACAGGAGACTGGCGGGCTTCAAGTCCTTGTATCAAATGGCCAAGTCAACCAATAGCGTCATCTTCATAGTGGCCGAGCCACTTTGGATAAAGAATCCCAGTCGGTGCCGGATTCCTTGGCAAAGTACACCCGCTGAGAGCCTTAGGCTACTGGTTTAGCGTCCTTATAGTCAGTTTCAGGTTGAGAAAGCTTTCCAGTGACAATGTCGTGCACCCCCTGAATCGCAAGGAGGTCTTCAAGTTGGGTACGCCAGGCTGGAAAGGTCACAGAATTTCCATTGAGGACCGGAACGTTGCCAATGAGTGCTGAGGGATTCTGGACAGTTTGTGCAGGCATCTTGAGAGACAATAGTTTGGTGATCGCTGTGGGGAGATTGTTGAAAGAAGAGAAGCTGAGTCGGAGCGGAGCGACAATGGGCCTCATAACATGTTGAAGGGGACACAGCATGAGCTGCCTGAAGTTCACAGACTGAGAAGTCTTGTGACACCTGAGAGTGAGAAAATAATGGTTTCTGATTCACTAGAGGGAAAACGCCAATGACAATCTAGTATGAGTTATATACAAGATTGTATGTGTTAAGGTTAGAAGCATACTGGACAATGCATATGCATGCTATTCCAACATGGTTTTCTGAGCTTCAACTGGATCAATAAATCTTGACCTAACACTACACTAGAGTGTCTAGGGAATTCCAACCCCACATCTGAAGTTATAACAACACCCTGTCATTCACCTCCGTTCCAGGATTTGTTGAACCGAGTCCGGAACCAAGAAGTCAGGCCCAGTTTTTGGTGATGACAGATTTTGGCTGAGGGGGTGCAGTTATGATGTAAACTTGTAAAGTGATCCCAGTTTAGTGAAGGGGCACGGCTCCGCCACGAGTTCCCTAGTGATTTATAATAATTGTGATCAAACTAAATCATGATTTGAGAATGATTGATCTGTGACTACTACAACAGGGTTCTGTGACTGCAAGTGTGCGACAAGAGAATTCTATCATGTTATTAGAGTAGGATAATTGAGTGATTCAAACTAGAGGAACAAAAAGTATAAGTAAGAAAAGAACATAATTTTAACACTTAACAGACCAGAGATCCGGAGAGACTTTATATAGATGACTCGCTATCAACCCATACCCCTTGGTGGAATGGATTATGAGGGACTATGGGTTAATAAGTTGGGTTTACCAGCCATTTGGAAAATTTGGTGGATTATTCTCCCATGGTTTAGTAGGGAGTATGAGTCAATACATATATGGGTTAATAGGGAGTTGACTAACAGATTCAACAGAAAACCTCAACAAAAACTCCTTCCTACTCAGACATCCTTGACAACCCAACTCATCTTCCACAGGTGTCCTTATAAAAGACCACAAAATGGTATCCTCACTAAGCTGTAAGATCACTTCAGAAATACACCACACTCATATTTCTCTTAGTGTAAATTTCCCACAAGCTACATAGACAGGAGGCCTGTCTAAGTCACCCACATATACCAATTCTTGAATTTCATAGTTTTATTAAGGGGTATCAAATATATCCAAATCCCCCATTATCTAATTGACTGGTCTGAAAAAAATCCACCTTTCTTGGAACATGTTGGTTCTTCATTTAACCCCTTTGGGGGCCCATTGATTCAAAAATTGATTTTTGGAAGAGCCACTGGTTTCTCATTGTGGACTTGCTATATTTGATACCCCCTGTTATCTATTTTATGCCCTCCCAGAGTTCCACACTGGTAGCCTACTCAAGCCTCATCAGCTGACCCATGTTCTGTGTCTGCCAGGACAGGACTGGGTATTTTGAACAATCAGACTGAAGATGTCTTTCCTATAATTCAGGTGAAAGAAGAGAAATTAAATGAGTCCAACCTGAACTTAAGGCAAACAATAAGAGGTGAAAAAAAGAAACAATAGAGCAAAGAACACAGAGCTCAAATAAGAAGAAAGAGAAACTGAAAGAAGGGTTGATGTCAATATTCTGAAGAGCAACAAGAAAAGAGTTGAGTCTGATGAAACCTACTGTGTCAAAAGACTAGTTGGGCTTTCTTGAGGTTCAGTAATAGGTCAAAGGAAGGGAATGTATGAGTACTGTTGGCGATGATGTTGAGATACAAGATGAGTTGCAGCAGGAAGGCAATACAAGTTGTAGTGGGGGCATTGAATATAACAGGATGATTGACAGATGAAATGAAGTAATAGTAATCGGGAGATTTAATGTTTAGGCTTTGTCAAGTGGAGGGACTTATTGAGTCAGTACAATGAGTGAGAATGTGGGACTGAAAGCCACATGATATGTAAGGTCCAGGCATGTGACCTTGAAGTTCCACAAGATGAGAAAGAGAAAATTGTGTCAAAAGTTTTGAATTGAAGCAATCAGAGTATGAGATGTGGATGGATTGCTGGAATTCTTAGTGGTGAGAGGACATCATTTCTTGAGTTTAGACCTTGCTATTCTGAAGGGAAATAAGGTTGGGCACAGAGGTGCTCAGACTTCAACAGGTATACCCACTGGGGCTCAGTATGGGTTCCGGTTCTAATGTACACTCTTGGTAGTCAAGAGGAATCTTCCTGGCCGTTGAGAGTGTACACACTCAACAGCCAAGCTCCCAGCCATCAAGAGTGTACACTCTCATCAGCCAAGAGGAATCCTGCCAGTTGCTGAGAATGTACTCTCAACAGCCTGTGGAGGGCTGTTGGGATTGCCCACCCATGCTGACTCCCTTTGCCCCAGGAGGTTCTGGAGGATCAACCTCTAAACCTTCCAGCAATTTTATTTCTAATTGAAATTACATTCCCACTGCAGAGATTGGAGGATCAACTCTGCTCCACTTGGGGGACCAAAACACCAGGGCTGGGGACATCCTGAGACTGTGTGGTCCCCACTTGGTCGACTCCTCCTGACATCCCTAGACTTCAATCCTCCATATTTGGATCGACCAAGCACCCCAAAGCAATACTACAGATGTTATCCTTCAGGTGCTTTGATCATGCTTGATTGTCAGAACCAGATCCCAAAACAACACAGGATATGAAAGCCCAAAACATGTTTTTTTTCAGTAGCTTGTTTAACTCAATAAATAGATAAATATGAGATAGATAGATAGATAGATAGATAGATAGACAGTTCAAAATGTATGTGATAATCAATGAAATAAAATACCTGAACAAAATTGGTGGTAAGCAAGATGATCCAGCTCTTCTTGTAATGACGTAAACTTGTCTTTCTAAGGAAGTTAATAAAAAAAGGGGGGGGAGACAATATGTGAAATAAGTAATCAAAGAAGTAAAGATTATAAAGAACTATGAAAAGAAAAAAAAAATGTTCTTCTTAGAAAGGGAAAAAAGAAGAAGAATGTGTGAAAGTAAAAAAAAAAAAAACTCCATACAACTTGTAGGTATAGAACAAAACAAAACTGGATCACTTCATGATAGATAAATGGAAAAATAAAGATGAGATGGGGGAGAAAGAAAGTGAAAGAGAGAGAGAGAGAACAGAAAGGAGATAGTAGTCAGACAGAAAAGAAAAGAAGAGGAGACAGAGAGAGAGAAGAGGAAGAAGAAGAAGACGAGATCTTAAGAGATTTTGAGCAGATAATTTTCAGGACATAATCCGGTGAGAGACAGATCAGGATGATGGGGATCATCAGGGAGGGGGAGACGGAGGAGGACAAGGTTGAGATCGTCGAGGGAGACGGGCTGTCGGTCGGGGGAGAAGAGCTTGCCGTCGTCGTCGATGAGCAGTTTAGTTTTGCGGGCGACGACCCAGCCGTCGCAGATGATCTCGAGCACACAGACGATCTCGCCCTTCGCCAGGTTCATCTCCGACTCGCCCTCGGCCACAAAGTCGTACATCGACACATACAGGTTCTCCCACTTCGTCGTCAGTCTCGTCAGCATCTGTTCGCCTCCGTTCTCGCCTATCATCAGTTGTTGTTGTTGTTGTTGTTGAAGGGGGACTGTTGGGTCTGTCAATGGTGGGGTCGATGAGCTCGACGAGAGGGCCGAGGAGGATGAGGTTTGGCGGTTCTTGTGGATCAGCTTGTCGATCTCCATCGACTGTTCTGCCTCCTCTTGATCCCTATCGAATTCCGAGTCGGCCGTCGATCCCGGCCCGGTGGGACTAGCACAGATGTTCCAGAACATCGACTTGGTGGGGGTTTGTTTGAGCTGGTCGGCCAGCTGGTGGTTGAATTCATTGAGTCTGCTGGCTTCGTCGGTCCCGTTGAGATGGTGGTGATTGGGGGTAGTCGTTAATCGCTGTCCGAGATGTCTTGGGTCGGAGGATTTGAATGCAAAGTCGCGTACGATGAACTGAGGGGGTGGGGATGATTCGGATGAGGAGCGGAGTGAGTTTTGGGTTGAGATGCGATTGAGGAGGTTGAGTGCGACGCGACTCTGGCTGCTGGAGAGTGCTGCTAGTGAGGTGCTCGAGGGTCGCTTTGGGGGATGAGTGGGGTAGGGTGTTGAAGCGCGCTTGGAGGAGAGTGGTGGGCGACTGTCGAGTGAGAGGCTGGGGATGATGCTGGTGCTCATCGGTCGTCTGGTGCGCGAGTTGGTCGCAGTCATCGTTTCAGCCGCAGTGCAGTGCGACATGCTTGGAGAGGAGAGACGCGCCGGATAGCGATGGTGCGGAGGGAGCTGGGCCTGAGATGGAGGGGGTGCTTGAGTGTTGGAATGGCTGTGTGGATAGTGTTGGGCCTGGTATTTATTTCTTGCACTTTCGACAGAGGGGATCGATTGGGATGGTTTTTGAGGGCAGTGCAGGGGGGGAAGGAGGAGCCCAGGCTGGAGGAAGTGAGCAGACGAGGAAGCGCGATAGGCTACGTAAGCGTTGATGCTGTGCTATTACTGTGAGGTTGGGAGAATTTGATTAATCAGACGTCAGTTCCTTCTCAACCAAAACAAAAGAAAAGAAAAGAAAAAGGAAAGAAGAAGGTTATTATATCAGAATGTGGAATACACACGTACGTGCTAGCAGAGTCAGACGAACCGATGGATGGAGTCAGAACTCGGACCGGGGCGATGAAGGACGATGGACACCCACAAGCGACGGCTAGAAAGTTGTGTTGTGTTTACCGGGCCAAAAAAAAATAAACAATAATGTTTGTTTGTTTGTTGGGATTGTACTTTAGCTTGCCATTTTGAGTCGACTATCAGAATCGAAAAAAAACAGCATCAACTTCCAAAAAAACAAAACAACACTCAAGCGGAAAACCCAAGCCCACAACCTCAACGGAAAAACAGATTGGTCATTTCAAGAGAAAAGAAAAAAAAAAAAATCACACGATCCATCGACCAAGGGAATTTTCTACCCGCAAAGAAGATTAAATTCACAGAGAATCACACCAAATTCATTGGGACCAGACCATTTTGCAGATACATAATACATACACACACACCAATCCTCATATCTCCATGATGGTCTCACCCTTCATGTGGCACTTCTGCTCAAGCACAAGAAAGGACCATTCGAGAACTTTACCTGAAATAATAAGCACCTTCAATCCAGCTCAATTTTGATTCCACAATCTATAGATCATCCTATATCTTTTCAGCTCATTTGCATGAAGTCTGAAAGATGTACGAGGTCCATGATGTGCTGCTCAACATGGTATACTATCTTTACTGGCAGATTTTTGAATTGGTATTGATGGATTAAGATCAAAGATCAAGGAATTACTGTCTGGATGAAAGGTATTAAAAAAACGAGAATAAGACATAGGGGGATTGTTCCCCCCATTATTCACTAATTGAGCAATAAAAGAAGAAATCAGAACCAAGTCAAAAGATGTGTAACATTCTGTGAAGACAGACGGAAATTACTTGCGAATTTGGTTCAAGGATCTTAAGGCAAGCTCAAATCTTCATACAAGACAAAGCAAGACAACTTCAAATAAAAGATGCAATAAAACAGGATAATTTACAACGGTTCATGAGGATAGCGAGGATCAATATAGTAATAAAAAAAAGGACGAATTGATTCTAAGAAGTTTTCGCAAAGGAAAAAAAAAACAATTGATAGAATATGTAACTGTACTAATTTCAACGATTTCTTCTTTTTTGTGTTTTTGCAATGCAATGCAATGTAGATGGATAATGTAACTATTTGGATGCGAAAGGGGGGAAAAAAAGAAATTCATGGAACTGTGCAGCAATGTCAAGAAAATGGAGGGCTCTACGTAATGAATCGTGCAAGACAAATAAACGATCATCATATAAAGATAGACATACAAAATTTCAAGAAAATACCAAAAAAAAAAAAATGGAAAAGAATAAGTAACTACATTTTCTTTTTTTTTGCGAAGTCAATGAGATCATTAAGTATTGGAAAAAAAAGATAGATGCAAGATAAAAAAAAAAAGAGCACGAAGATAATTCAAGAAAATGGTTTTTTTTTGTTCTTTTTTTGGGGGTGACTTGGATGACGATGCAGGGCAGAGACTACAGCCTGATTGATTTTTATATATATATCTAACGACAAAACGAGTTGATAGAGCTTTGGAAGGAGCGTGTCGAATGAAGAACTTTGTTGAGCTGTTTGGAGGGAGGCTGATTGGTTGAGGGATGGTTTAACGGATCTTCTACCGCTGGAAGTTAGAATCGACGGCTCGAAAATGTCTGTGGTGTCAGTGACTGCGCAAGTCTCAAAAAAAGGGGATAGCGAGGAAGGACGGGTTCCTCAGGGAATATAGAATCCTACGAATTCACCCAAAACTCTTTCTGGTGATCTTGGTTAAGAGTAGGCCCTGCAGAAGTGTTAGTATTGTCCAACGTGTTCTGGGCGAGATTGTTGGTGGTCAAGGATTGACAGGCGTCTTCCAAGGCCTGGTTGGAAGCCGAATGGGACTGGTAACTGAGATACATGGAGTCGAAGTCCAATCCGTCGGACTTCAACGGATCCGAAAAGGAGGAGTCGTCGATCAATGCACTGAACTCGAGCGGCTTTGAGCAGTCCGATTGAGAGCCTTGGGACCGTAAGGGGTATGTCGTTTGTTGCGAGGCCCCAGACCCACTGATCTGCGAACTGTGTTCAGAAACTGCAGGCTCCCGAAACGGATATTCGGCCGGGTTGGAATTCACGAGATTGTTGAATCCAGTCCCTTGGGGCCAAAAAGGGGAACTCTGAAGATGGGTCTGACTATCGTCTCTCATTGCAAAGCTCTTTCCATGAAAATTGTTATCATGCATCGTACCTGTCGTAGGCGGCGCTAGAGAGCTGGGTGTCGGTTGAGTTGGAGTCAAGTCTGAGGTTGTCAAACCGAGTGACCGCCATATTTCGTCCGAAAACGGAGTAGGCAAACTTCCCGGAACGTCAAGCCCAGTGCCTACATGCGAAAATAATCCCGAGTATGCTTGCGTATCGGGCTGGTTGAGCGCGAGCCCGTTCTGATTGGCAACGGGAGGGCCGGAGGAAGAAACCGACAGTCTGGGGTCCTGTTGGACAGTACCTTGGGATGGTTCGCTGGCTGTGTACCCCATCCTCGGATCCAGGTTGACTGGATGAATTATTGGTGGCTGTTGAGCTCCTTGGTGGGTTGTCTGATGGGCCATGTGGGACTGTTGCGGTTGGGATAGCATTTCCACGTCTTGGTGTCCGTTTGTCACTCTTCCTGTTGAGAGTTCGGATGCAGTCATCGGAGCTTGTCGAGCTGATGACTCATCTGCAACAGACTCCGGTACGCACGACAGCGATCGACGGGCCTCGGCAACTGGGGAAGTCGTCAGGGTAGACTCGGCATACTCTGACCGTGGGGTGGCTGCTTGACCATTACCTGGCTGGCAGAAGTAGTGAACCGGGGCACGGAATTCGGGGCGACTGGTGTCACGCACTGGATCATCACGAGGATGAATGACCGCGTTCGAAGTGGAAGGTCGTGCAGAACTACCCGGTAATGGTACCATCTTGCCCTTGCCAAGTTTTTCTCCTCGAGAATTGATGATCCCTTTGGCCACTGCAGCCGCAGATGCCTTCTCTCGCTCGACTCGCTGTTCGGGTGTTTCGCCAGGCAGTTGGCCACTTCGTCGACGGCGGACTACTTCCTTCCTCTTTTGGTTAGGAGCATGCTTTAACCCGGGATTCCTGGCGCGGGCGGCTGCCCTCAATTCTCTCGAAGCCGTCTGCCACGATCGCAAATCCTCCTCACTCAGCCCTGCCCAAAGGCCCGACACCACTCTGGAAATTTGCCGGTTATCGTTCTCGACCCCAGGCGGTAGTAACTTGTTGGCAATGACGTGGGACCGAAACATCAAGAATGAATTTGGTGTCCGCTTGATGTAGCCAACTGGCACCTTGCGTCCATGTGAGACTTTCCCATTGATCGTCGGTGGCGGTTTCACAAGCTCGATTTCGGATAGTCCATTATCACTTCCGGCCGTTTGTGATCGGCTAGTCCTCGCCTTACGCTTGTTGGGGTTTCCGTGAGCCATCGATGGAAGTACTGAGACCATGATAGTTTGCGAGGAGCATGCACTGGGACTTTGGGCAGGGCATGTACTTGGGGGCTGACTGGAACCATCGAATTCAGAACTTTCTTCAAATGATTCGAGCTGATGACCTGCCCCCCGACTCGTCACTTCGGATGCCTCCGAGCATAGTGAAGGATCATAACGTTGCAGCAGCTGTGCGGCCGGAGGTGCACGAATCGAGAAGCTTCCGGGGGCGGGCATCGTATAATCGTCACAAGAACTGGATGCACGTCCATAACGCGGGGCAACTGAATCCGAGCGGGAATCCTGATTGGCGACGCGTGTGTCGCAACTCGAGCCGTGTGAAGAGATACGTGACGCCTGTTGGGATACACCGTCTACTGGCATCAACAAAGAAGTACAAGTTGAACACACTTTCAATATTTTACACATATAACATGAGCCGATGTGTGAGATTAGGCGCAGTGAAGTACAGACCTGTCGTATTTGGCGTAAGGCCGGAGACTGCGCGAGATGTTGACGCGCACCTGCGTGCTGCAACGGGCCGTGCGTTGACAGTGGCGCCATAGTTGGAAAAATCCCTTGGAGAGCTACAAGCTGCACCCGCCGATGAGAGTGGTTTGGGATAGCGGGGGGTGCAGTCATTGGAAGCGGAGGAGGAAGGAACAGGCTGCAAGATTCTGAAATCAGGCTTCGAGTCAAATTTCATATGGCGTTAAAGAGCAACTAACACAGTTCAAGCTATCCGAAGTTGAAAGGCATGCCGTGCCTTGGGGGTTCGTACCAGCTCGCTGAAATTCATGGAAGAAACGGACAAGATTAATAGAGTACGTGTAAATGCGCAAGCTAGAACACTGAGAGACCCACAGGTGTGCTAGCATAAGATTGACTAATTGCTAAGCTTCGAGCAACTAGACGGGAGAGACAGGGTCCATCGAAAGAATTGTGAACACTCGTCAGCTTCCTTGAATCGAAAATTGCGGCAAGTGTAAAGGAGAAGTAGTCACCTGGATGATGGCTTGCGAGGATTCCGGGATGCCCACCAACATGGCCAGTCTTCGAGTAGCCATAGGAAGTTGACCCTGAAGAAGGACGATGGAAGCGAAAAACAAACACAAAAACAATCGAGAATTGAATACATATCGAATGTTTAGCCCAAGAATCACCAACACTCACCTTGCAATCATACGTATTTGCTGTTTGGTTAGCAACGGTCGCTGGGCTCGATTTTGCAGGTCTGGTACTTCGAAGACCTTTGTTCGTGCTTGCTGCACTTTCCGTATTGAGCGGCAGGCTCACTCCACCACCAACAACTTCAACTTCTGGAGTGTCCTGATCCTCATTGGCATCCGCAAGATGGTGGAAGGTTTCAGGTTCTTTTCTTGAGGCCGGTCCTTGTGCACTACTGCTCTTCGTCGGAAGGGGAAGAGGACTTTCTCGCGTCGAGTGAAAAGAGTTCAGCTTGACTCTCTTCCTCTTGTGGGCTTCCCTATCGGCAGCTTCCTCCTGATCACTACCAGCGTCAGAGAATTGACCTTCTCCTGAATTTGCAATTTGAGTCGACGAGAGGGCTGGACAGAGTGACGAGCTGGGGGAGGATTGCAAGGCGGCGGAGGTCATCAGGCTCGAAAGGCGCGGGTCGGATATCGGTTTAGATCCGTTTCCTAGCACTTCTGGCGAAATGACGATTGGCGTTGTGGGGCGAGAAGATGAAGGTAGACACGAAGCATTTGAAGTTGAATGGTGGCGGTGGGCTGCCGAGAAGACACCGGCTCGCGTACTGACGCGTCTGCATAAAGAAGGACACTCCATTTGAAAATTGAAATGGATCGGACGAGAAAAGGCACCCCTATAGTCGATCTTAATTTTTCACAAAATGTGGGCCGTCGGTGGATTAGGAAACTTGACGGTGATCTGCGAATTAAGTTGGCTCACGGTTGAGAACCAAACTTCCAAGGGATTTTGTAAGAAACGGTGATCGAGCGGGTGGGTACCGATAAATAGATATGTAAATACGTGGGTGGTGTAGTCGAAAAAAAAAAGATCCAAACAGGCAACAGAAGATATTGTATATTGCACCAAGGAGCGGATAGGGATGGTAGGGAGATAACGTCTTCAAGAGCTCATTCAAGCAGGTATTGGACTGGATGAACCCAAATAATAGGTAAATAATATGTAACTTTGTACATAAGATGGGGGGTTTCGATGGAGACGACTGGAGTCTGAAGTTTGTATTTTTGCGGGCAAGGGAGAGCACTGGAAGCCCTCAACTTTTGGTTAGGGCCTTGCAGAGAGCTTGAAGGCCCTCCCCAAACAATCGATCACCTGAGGTGCTACGGTGCGCCGGTGCGGGATGTTTGTTGGGGGTAGAACAATATACGGACGATGGACCGAGGTATAAACTTAGGTTATTATCCAGCGCTATTTGTTCTGGGACGTGGGAGATCTTGGGTATGGAAGCTTATTAAAGTTTTCAGTGTGAGTTTGTGACCGGGAGGATGTCTTTCGAGGACCCGAGGGCTCTTTGAAAGGAAGTCATACATGGATGCTTTATTCAAAATGGGTGGGCCCGGTGATTCCTTTCTTCCTTTCTCCTGGCGGCGCTAGCGACCCTCGATATAAATATGCCCAACTCCCCCCCCCCCCCTCAAGCAACAACGTTCTTGACAAAGTTGCCGCTAGGCAAAGCACATACTGACCGAGCAAAGTATCCGAGATGACCCAGCCGAAGTCACTTGAGTGTACTACAGCAATCACTTTTCTGGTACGAGTTGGAAGTTTCTGGCCTTGGGTATCTTTGCATCTTCGACATCTTGCACAGGCTTGCTGACGTTCATTCCAAGAATCCAGGACTCCAACTAGCTCCAACTGCCCTTGTTCTTCCAGAAGGTTGTAAGTTGTGGCATCTCATAACTTGAACATGTTGGCGAGCAAGCAGCGCTCGCTCTGGACGCCAATCATAGGCAGTTTCTATCAGGGAAGATGGGTTACAACCGAGAAATGTTACAAAAAAACTTGGCATGCTCCACATGTTGTAGACGGTTTCTCACTGATATTACTAACGCACTCCTGAGTCCGACTCAGCCAGTAGGCCGGAAACAAACAAGGGGGAAACTCGCCATGGATGTCTTGCAATCAATCGCATCATCAGCCATGCAACCCCCAGCGAACCCGTAAATCGGCGTTTCAAAAAGGCTAAGTTTTGTTTTCACGATTGCACGCTTTTTGAGGCTTGAACGGCCGTCGGTCCAACTGCCGGTTCTGACTTCTAAGGAATCCTGGCTAGTCTTGGTAATACTAAGGCTCGCTGGGATCACCTGTCTGCTTGTCGGAGGGTATGTACTGCACATACATAGATGCTTGGTGCAGTCTACACAACCCACGAGAGATTACAAAGGGTTGTGTGAGTAGTCTTCGTCAGGGTTAACTGACTCTTATAGAACACTTGATGACCTGGATTTTCGGGAACCATGGGGCATGTTGGATAATGGGTCTGGCCGAATGTTGGGAGGCCTCTGCGAACATCCGGCAACTGGCCAGGCATGTGGTAGAAGAAACAGTGGCTGCTGAAAAGCAAGCTCCCAGCACTAAGAGACAACCCTAGATGAGCTTTTTAACAGTAGTGTTTTCTTATTGCAACATGTACGGGGTATTGGAGGACTTCCCGTCAACATCTGCGGGTCTCCCAGAGTCGGTTTAGAGCCTCGAAATTCAAATCTCCCTGCGAGAATTAAAAGTTTTCGGCTCTAGATTGACTTCTGCGAGGGTCCCAGATCCGACGGGAAGTCCTCCATTAATCTATTGGTACTAAGGGAAATTTTCCCAGTGAGCCTGGAGTTGGTATTCTACAAATACGATCGCTGAAGATAGAGAGAGAAATTAGAGTGACCAGTTGCATCCGATGTTGCAGATCAGTGACTTGATCTGATGTTGAGTGACATGTGATTGGATATGCTGGTTGAGAGAGAACACTTGCAGTAGGTGTTGGCAGGTGTAAGCAAGAATTTAATGGTCTGGAAATCATCCACAGGTAGGGTGCCCTCCAAAAGATGAGTTGTTGACATGGTTCCTCTGGTGCAAACTCTGCCTTTGGTTTATTTTCCTCAAAACAACTTCTCACTGAGACATTCTGCTAACTCAATCCCAGTTCCCAGATTAGATAGTCAGCATGGTCTCCAGCTGTCAAAGACAGCAATGTCCTTACATGGTGTAAGTGTAGCTTGTAAGGAAGGGACAAGTGCTGCCACTGCACCTCAAAAAGCATCAATCAGAGCAGTGCTGCCCACCCCTGCTACTCCCCAAGAGCAAAAATCAGTAGCACTATGTAATGGATAATCCAGCTTTTGAGCACAGATCCTTGTATTTAATCAAGGAGTTGTGACAAAACTGAAATGAGATTTTATTCAAAAGAAATGTTCAAAAAATAAATCTGATTCCCGTAAGGGGGCAAGAGGGAGTGAGATGTGAGACTAATACTTATAATAAAAAGAGTTGTGTGAAAATGTTGCGTAGCTTGGAGACTATCTACTATGTATCTATCATTTTACTAAAGAAAATTTCTAACTGTATAAAGAAACTAAATGACATAAAATAAAACATAAATTTGAAATCCGGATTAGAGATGGTCTCTGGATATCCATTATCCGCTGGCGGATACCCGCCAGCAGATTCGAATTCGGGAGCAGATGTCCCCTTCCCCCTGAAATCCTGGCAGATATCTGGGTATCCCAAGGGATACCCAGTTCCAAGAGACTAAAACAGAGCAGAATTATTTTACAAAAATAAGAAAAGAAAAAAACCGCCCCCCCTCGACCTAGAGAAGCAGAGGCCACACCGCTGGGAGGAATCCCTTCCGACAAGCTCGGAAGGGATTCTGTTGAAATTTTGCTCATCTCTCTCTTCTTTCCTGTCATTCACCTGTCACTCACTTATTCACCGACCATTGTTTTTTTTATGCTATGTGTTCTGAGACCCACAACTTGAACCTCGTGTAGTTACAATACTTAAGTCCTATTAACTGCAGCTTAAAAATAAAATCCCATCGGTTCTTTACTCTTTTTAGATTGTTCCTGAAGGAGCACTTTTAGCCCTTCTTCAGCCTTAGTTGAGAGCACTTTAGCCCTCTCATTAAGAATCAAAAAGTATTTTTTTTTTTGGCCTTTTGGCTTAAAATTTCAACACGATTAACAGTCGAAGATCGACTCTAATCTTTGAACTGCTCTCTCTCTAATCACCTCAACGTTCCCTTCGCTAAAAGATTCCTTCTCACTAGAGCCCATCATGGCAACTGAAGTGGTTCGCGAATCCAAAATCCTCCTCTCCAACAAAAACTACACTCTTTGGCTTCTTCCGATGGAAGCTAAACTCTATAAACTGAAGGCCCTCAACATTGCCACCGGCACTGCTACCTGTCCTGATCCCAAAAAAGACAAAGACAACTTCAAATTATGCAACAAGCTCAACGAAGACGCGTACGCAGAGATTGTTCAATACCTTAACCAAGAAGTCCTTGCCTATGTCAGCTCAGCCCTCCCAACCACCGACAAATTCAACGGATTCAAGATTTGGCAGTTACTCAAAGCCAAGTTCGCGGGCGATGATCTCACCTCTAAGACCACGGCACTAAAGAAATTCCTCGCTGTTGATTACGACTCGTTCTCGTCGTTCTTACCACTTATCCGAGCTGCGAATCAGAAGATTGTCCTCTGGTGCCTCGCTCTCGACGATCAAGTGAAAACTATCCTGATGCTCGATAAACTACCTCAAGACTTTCACTCGTTCAAACAAACATATCAATGAATTCCGAAACCTTACCGTTTGACGAAGTACTCAGAAGCTCGAGGACTTTGCTGCTCAAATCA